AGAAATGCCATGTATTTCCTTCTCCCACCTTAATGCATACCTAAAATACCTCTAGGAACCTCTGAAAACCTGAACCTCCTCTTCACTGTTAGCAGCACATTCTCAAATACTTTGTCTAGACTTGAAATATGCTTAAGCAGTGAAGTCTGAGTGGTGAACAGACAGCATATTTAGTCCATAATAAATTAACTGGAATGAAGGCTAATCCTCAAGGCCAATGTATTCTGCCCCTCTTAAACAGCCTAAGGAGAGTAAGGCAGGAACTGAGTTGACCAATGCTTTCCGCATGTGACACAGCATCTTCTAAAAGACTGCTCTGACCATCTGTGGTCATCATGTGGCTCGCATATCCTTCCCCAGTGTCTCTGTTCTCAGCTAGTATGAAATAAGCCCAGACAACTATGTACTCAACTTCAGATCCCCAAATCAATGCCTATGGTGAGATGGATTATACAAATACAAGTCTAATTCAGACATTTAAGCACATACAAAACACCAAAGACCTGTCTCCACTGCCTGAAAGAAGAGAGTCAGACATTTTCCTATGCTCTTACTACAAAACCAGGAAACACCTGAAAATAAACAAGACTTCAGCCTTTCCTTACTGTGAAAATATTCTGTATGCAAGACTTCCCTCTAGTGGAAAATCCATGAATTTACCACTTTTAACATGGAAAACAAATGCTGAAAGTACATATAACGGTGCTCTTGAAACAATAAATGACAAATGCACTTGCAGCTGAAAACATGCTTACACTTAAATCTTTTGTGTCATACTTAGAGCTTGACCCTCCTAGCCGAGGGATTCATTATTTGGGCAGTCTGGAGGTGCTAGAGCTGAAGAGATGCAAGAAAACTGTCCCTTCCACCATCATTGCTAATTCTAGACTAAACTTTCATTATCCATATGAATATCAGGTACAGGGTTTCCCATGAGGCCCTGGGCATTTGGAACAGGCGTATTTCCTGCGATGGGAAGTTTGCCAGCCTTGTCAACCTGCGTGCCTGCTTGTGGGAATGAAAGAAGGAAGGAGTATGCATGTGAGATGGCAGTAGAACTGCAGGGCCCTACATGAGAGTGGATGCTGTGTCAATGAGTTCTTATGATGCTTATGCTGTTAACAGAATTATTTAATCTGTGCAGGGAAAAGTGACAGGGATTTATTAAAATAAAACCCCACAATAGAACATCTTAAAACTAAAGATTTTCAAAGATCCACAAAACAGGACAGATAAGTAAACTTTTACTATAATTTAGAGCAATCAAAATTAAAGCATCAATAGTTTCACCTCCAGACTATGTAAGGCATTTTGAAGATTTTGTTAAGATTGGTGATGAGCAAATGAAGCCTAACTAACCTTTTTTTAAAATATATATATCTATATCTCTACATGCATATATACACACACCAGAACACCTATATGATTACATTAAGTATTCTGCTATGTGAGCACATAGCTGCAGAACATCTGTTGTAGATTGGCAGCAAACACACCTAGCCCAACTTCGAGTCAGGATTGTGCCACTGCCTTTTTGTTGTATCCATACTCCAGTGGAGTTACACACTTCAGAAGCACTGCTGCTCCAAAAACTGTTTCACAGGTCTCAAGGAAAGGCCCAGCGCCCAGAGCAAGATGCCCAGCCCTAGAGGCAACTTCCTGCCACCAAAGCAGGTGCAGCATTTTTAATACCCACCTAGTCACTATGGGTAAGTTACAAGCAACAATGGCTCTTGGTTCAGTTTGTGGGCAGTGGATCCCAAGAGGCATGTACGCCACCCAGGAGCATGCTTGCATTGCAACTGAAGATGAGCCGGCCTGTCTCAAATCGCTCCTCTTACTGCTTCCCCTGCACTACTTCTGGCAATCACCTGATGAATTCATTTCATTAACCACCAGAAATTAGACCACCCAAAAAAATAAAAGTGAAACATTTCTGTCAGTTCAGCAAGCTGAATTAGCCCTTCACTGAACTGCCCTGAACTATTTAATACAGACAGGCACGTCGAGATAAGCAAGGTCCCGCATTCAGCAGGCAGCCTTTTGCTAGACAGTTGCCGCAACTGCACGTTTTCCTTCTGCCTGAACAGCACATCCCATTGTAGCTGCAGGTTGTTAACAGCACACATCACACCAGGCCCATCTGCAACAAAGATAAAATTTGAAAGAGGTTATAAGAATGCATTGTAAGGCTGTAAAACAAACTTGGTAAAAGCAACTGATAAAAAAATTGTAGTGATAAAAACTATTTCTTGTTAATCTAGTAAATCTGGCCTACACAGAAATGTTTATCTGCCAGAAGAAACAGTGATTTCCTTCATTAGTCAAAGGCTTCTTTTTGTAAAAATACCAGGGTAAGAATACTCAAGCACATTTACAAGACCTGGAATTTATTCTGGTCATTAGCAGTTCTTCCAGACTCTTCAGATTTGAATCACAAGTTTAAGACTCAGCTACAGCTCTCCTTGTAGATAATCACGGCTTCACTCCCTGTCTACTCTAGTGACTTTTCCTTAGCAGAGCCACTACTACAATCAAACAAAACCTGACCAGTCCTTACCATAAGACTGTCTCAAATTGAACTGTGCTATATATTGTTAGCTTCACTGTCATGGGTCTGCTCCTGGGTGGGCAGAGAAGCATCTTAAAACAACTTAACTTAGGCCCTGATGAAGTTGCTATGTTGCTATTTATGCACCAATTGAGACCAGGTCAAAGTGACAAAAGGAAGGAGAGCTGTAGCATGAAGAGGTAACTCCTTCCACCTCCCTGTGGGTCAGTGGAACAGATGGTGCTGAAAATAGGAAATACTCCAGTCTCAGCCATCACATGTTCTCTCAGCTAACCCAATTTGAAAGAAAATAGCCAGTGTCAGATTTGAGACCTGAAAAGATAAGGTATAGGGTGTGACTGTGCACAGGCAAAGGAGATCTGAGGCTCTTCAGAGTCATGCGTGCAAGCTAACTCAGATCTGGATTGTTCACAAATTCTTGATGCAGCGAAGCAGTTATTTTGGTGCCAATGAACTGACAAGAAAAGAGAAACTACTTCCTGGGGTGTCACACTTCCTAGAGGTGGAAAGAAGTTAAGGGATGGGACAGCAGAACGACCATAACTGATTTTCAAAGTGGATTAAATTATTTTTGAGATAACAAATAAGGCCAAATTGCACAGAAGAAAAAAAAGCAAGAAACTGATGAACAAGAAAGAATAAAAAAAAGACAGTATGAAAGAAAGAGTGAAGCTAGGCCAGCTGAATATATTTTGAAGTTTAAACACTGAAATGTGAAGCACTGATTCTAAGAAAGGTAAGCACTATTAGCATTTATATGTTTCAGCACATTTACTCTGGGACAACTTGCAGGCTTAACAGGCTTCTTAAGTTTGATACCTTTTCCAATTCAAGTTACTGTAAAGACACCAAATCTTTTCCTAAAAAAGAAAAACACCTCTTCTTGACATTTGTTCTTCTCCGTTATTTTTGTTACCCTTCCCATACTACCCTACTGGCTCTTTGCAATGGTCTACAGGATTGCCAAGCATCTCTTATCCCAAGCAGTTCACACCTGCAGTGACAGCCCTGAAGAAAACACAGCACACACTGGGCAACAGAAGATTCAATTTTTATATTTTCAGAATTCTCAAAAAAGCTCCTACAATTCTTAAGGTCTAGAAATCATAAAACTACCCATCTGCTTTCCAAAGGAATAAACTGATTAAAAGATATGCTGAATATTTTTGCTCAAGTCTGATTTAAAGTGTCAAGCTAAACAGATACCAGAGGATTGGAAGGGCAGTCTTACCTTCCCTTCTATAGTGCTGCAGCCTTCTTTTGAAGGCCTGGATTAAATCTCTAGCAATGTGTCATCACTATAAAAGACAGAAGACCACCATACCACTTCACGTCTTCATCTTATGAAGGCTGATAAAGTGCTTCTAGGGTACAGCTGAGCCAAAATAATCCCATTATGGTCAACTACATCTCTCTACTTGAGACATCTTTGAGGAAGTCACTCCACACCAAATGGCATATGGTGAATACGTAACACAAAAACTTCTTGCCATATTTCTCAGGGCAGTATGTTACTATATATAGAGAGATACATGTCTCAATGTGCTAAATACGGTGGTTTTTTTTTCTTAACTACTTAGAGTTCACATGAAACCAGTGAATATGCAACTGAATGGAAAAATCCTAGTGAATGTGATGGGCTGAAGTTTGATGTCCATAAATACACAAAAATTCCAAACCAAAGGCCAGTGTGTACAAAATAATTTATTATAGCATAACATATGTTGGCAATATTTTACAGTGAGTTTTTCATTCAACAATTTTGAATCTAAACAGACGACACAAAGGAGAATTTTAATTAGAACAGTTTATTTGTCTTAATAAAATCCCCTCTTCATGAACTTATATTTGCCTTTGAGGGGCGAGTTAATATTACTGAAATTATTTACATTGCAGTGAAATAAAAACAAACCAAGATTGAATGATTCCATTACAGTTTCCAGAAAACGGATTTTCTGTACAAACCACAGTATAGTTATGTTTTGATAGCAGTTCTTATAGAATGTAAAGTTGTCATATGTAACCATTTTGTCCAGCAATACTATGCTTTAAATAGCTATATTAGATTCAGACTTTCATCTTGATGTGTTCTATAGTTAATAGTTAATGCACCAGAATACAAAATAAGGAAAGGGTTCATTGTGATTTATAGTCAGCCTCTTTGTGCTCCCTTAAATAGTTTTTAAATGTAAAACATACTCCTCACATACTATTTGCTTTGCAGCACCTAAAGCAATAGTATTTAGGCATGAGAAGTACTGGAATATTGGCCATAAGTGGACAACTAAGACTTCTAATGGAGGTAATACAGTAAACTTACCAGTGAAGTTTTATGGTGTAGAGAAAAACTGTATTGCCCAATATTGTACCTTCTGCATTTGCCCAAAATTGGAGCGGCTTTTTCAATTTAAGTGTCAATAGGTGAACAGATGGGGAGAAACCAGAAGAGGAGGAAGGGGAAGATGGAACAAAGGACAAACAACAGTATCAAATTAATTATATTTTCACAGGGAATTGCTTCAGGATACTCAAACATGTTAAACTGACCATGAACTTAAGAAAAGAAAAAGCTATGGAACACAAGGTAGACAGGAGAGTTTTCAGAAAGCCTTAGTTTTTTTTTTTTCTTCACAAACCTAACCTTCATGTCCATGAACACTGGTTCCATATAAGACACACACCTGACAAAAACATGCAAACCCCCAATGCTTTCATTGTCACTGTGCTTCAAAAGAAACCAAACTGACCAAAGATGAAAATAAAATTTAAAAAAGCCAAGAACAAAACAACCAGGAAAACCCTAAAGAACAGTAAAAGATGAAGAGGGTAATTCAAGCAGCACTTCAGTCTTTATCTGCTAAAAACACTCAAATGGTAATTTATTAACAAGATATCACATTTATCTGTATATGTAATGACACTTATGTGAAAGCAGTCTTTAACATCCATTTTTTTTGTGAGGGAGGGCTGACGGATTATTAAAAGACTTAAAACTGTACAAGTATAAACATGAAAAATGCTGATTAAGGGTAATGTTTACATAAATATTGGCAGTTTTTGTTGGGAGAAAAAAATAACTAAGAGCATACTCCATTTCATTTAACTATCCAAATATTTTGTTTTATACCTGTTAAAGATATTAAAATACAACCTGGAAAAGTAACCCTGATCTGTATCCAGCCAGCATGTAATGAGAGTCAGAGTTTCATATACATATGTGCACGCAGGTATACATGCACACAGGCTTGCACAGACTACCTCAAATTTCATTAGACAGCAAATCATGGTTAAGGGCTGTGTGATTCACAGATGCAATGCCGCTATCATCCTTGTTCGTGGCAGGCATAAAGGCAGTCGTAAAAGGAAACAGTTTATGACATGCTGCTTGATATTCTTCACATTGAGTGTGGCAGCTTCCAAAACTGCCATCAAGCAGTGCCTCAAAAACCTTTGTTAATGTCTAAAGAAACAAAAGTAACAGTTAATGAGATTTACAGTTGTTTTTGCTAGTAATAAAGAAAATGTACTGTTAAACAATACTAATCTAAGCAAACAGGTTCTTTGTTGTTATTCAGATATCTTATAGTTGCTTAGGAGAACAAATATTAAACTTTGTTATTTCAAACAGCATTAATTTATCATGCTATAAGAAGCATGTACAGTATCCTGCAGTTAAGTACATATTATTTGAGATACAGCACATTTTTTGGTTTTAAATACTGTATCTTTTACCTTCACATTTCTGTCTCTCATGTTTTTATCCAACCTAGTAGCAACAGCAATTGCTTTTTCTTGTCTTGATTTGTCCAGGAAATACATCATCTTTGCACCTTATAACAAGAAAGAACACAAGATTTAGACAACACCATTCTCAAATGCAATACCACATAGACACACAGAATCTAAGAGACTTATAAATCAATGTGAATTAGGACTTCTTACAAGTTTTAATAAACCATACTTTCCCCTCTCATTTGTAACTTGAAACTAAGAAAACTAAAGCTATTTTGAAATTTATTAGAAGCATAAAGATTAACACAGGAGATCTGCTTCTGCAGGAGTGAAATCCCTCACTTTACTGAAGACCTGTCAGTCAAGAAACACACAAAGAATGCATTGACGACTAAGTCCTTCAAATCAGCAGGGTACATTAAATCCATCCCACAAATGTAGAAGTGAGTAGAAGACAATTTCTTAGAGATACTCTAAATTTTGAGAAGTACAACAACTTTTGTAAGTGAACAATACAGTTATCGAACAACGGTGGAACACAGTCCAGAAGAAATTCAGACCAGTCTATGTCCAACTGGCAGAAAGGCCAATCTGGGCTACTAACCTGGAGCTGAGCGAAATAACTTAGGTACAAGGGAAGTGTAATGCAATTTTGGTGCTTTGCCTGGACTGGACTACACTGGTGAGATAACATCGCATTAACATAACTATGCAACTTCTTGGACCACAAACAGTTAATAAAAACTGGTCTGGGCATCTCTGCAAAATAGTGTGTTACTCCTTACATCATAGCTGCCTTAATTTAAAATCTTATCTTAATGAACAGGTAGGCATTCCATATACTTTCCTTTAACCAAATACAAAGTCCAGACACACCTCACTACATAATCTATGACAAAGAATAAAAAGCTAAAAACCCACATTATGAGTATAGTGTCTCTTCTTGCTCAGCTCTTTTCCCCAATTATTAACTTTGCTTTCCTGACTAGTTTCCTAGTTCTTACTGCTTTTTGTATCCAGAACATTTCAGAAAATAAATTCCTAAATTAAATATTTAGCCTTGAGGTATTATCAAAAAAACTCACTCAATTTAATCTCATTACATTTGTTTAAAGTCAGGGAGGCTACGGTATAGAAATCGAAGAGGGATTAAAATTCTTTTTTTTACTAGTAATTATTTTAAGCTAACAGAAAAACATATTTGTACTCTCAGACTTAAGGTTTAGGTCTTTCTGATCTTTACATTTGCAAACTTGGATTAAAGATGACAGTTTAAAAAATTATAAGTTTTACTGTAGATAAGTCAATTGCTTCAAACCCATTTTAGCATAAACAGAAGACTGACACATACTTGAAGGCCTAAAGCTACCAAGGACATGTTTGTGGTTAGTTCACTCACGATTTCACTTTAAAATCCTACTCCAACATTTGTTCCCACTGCCTGTAAATTGATACACGGTTGGATCACAGTGATCAATGGACCCTAAAGGTACACTGATTGACCCTAAGGAGCTTTTACACATTTAAGCCCCTCACCTCCACTGAATGTGAGCCACTTTCTTCAAAGGGCTCCCTGACCTCTCTCTAGCATGGGTGCCACCACTATCAATGATCTAGCTTGGGTTCTTCTTGAAGGCACTACAGATGTAGACAGTGTGAAGCCAAACTTTTAAGTATGACAGCCTTAGCCTGTAAATTACTATGACAAAGTGACTGTATTATTTTCCATATTAATGGAGGACCAGAAATTAGAACCTGGAAAACATCCAGTTAGACAGGAGTGGAAGAACATTCTGTAGAAATCAAGAGCAATCACCTGCTGAGATATCTGTGATTGACTTACCAAGCCTTGAACCTGCTCACAGGAAAGGGTTTCAAGTATTTCTCTCAAGAAGCTATTCTGAAACAGGGACCTTTTAATGGGCTACCTAACCTTCCTTTAAGGGAGATGAGCAATAGTCTGGAGCAAACTTTCTCCAGTGCTTCTGGACAGATCCTGGGTAACTTTTACAAACTAGGTGAAATCAGTATTGCTTTAAGTATTTTAAGTGCCTGACAAATCTATACTTATTTTTGCTTCCTAACTGCTGGAGAGGTGTTTTCTTTCCCCCCTCTGTTAGCTTCTCAGGTGACATCAATCTTTGGTCCAAACCTTTTTGTTCTCAGTAGACAAGACAAATTTAAATTTCAACTTCCTTTGACTTAACTCCAGCAGCTACTCATAGGTCTTCTCCACAAATAGTGTAAGATGTCACATTTCAACATTTTAATTGTTCACCACAGAGCAGAAAAGCTAAAGTAACATAAGTTTTTCACATTTTTATTGATGCTGTTGCTACTAGACAAAACTATGACTAGGAACAGAGACACTGCAGCTGATAAGAAAACAGGGAAAATCACTGCTTCTAACACACAGGACTTGTTTTCTATTTTCTCATCATTTCAAAATGAGAAGCTGCAACAGGAGGGATGGTAGTGCTTCCATACTTGAATGTCTGTAGTGGTTTGATTACACTTTTGGAGGTATGACACAGGCTCCTTACGCATCTAATAAAAAAGTGAATATGTTTTGGTTTTTGATTTTTTTTTTTTTAATATGGTAAAAGCAGACAAAAAACCCCAAGTAAACATCATGTAAATTTCTGGCTCACTGGAATTTATGTAGGATTTATGTACTACAGAGAAAGATCACTTAATCTCATTTTCAAGAGTATTAAGAAGTTACACAAACCTGATAGCTGGTGCTGAATGGAGGTAGCATTGTGTTTGAGAAATTCTTCATTAAAACTTTCCAAGTTTTTATTAACAAAGATTTTCTGCATTTCTTGAGTTAGGACCTTGCTCACAATTTCTGGGAGGTTACTGTGGTCAGATACTAGAAAAGGGAAGATAAGAGGGAAAGAAGAAAAAAAAAGCCGTTTAAACAACAGTAGGAAACAGTGTGAAACCATAAACATCACTGCTAAAATTCCTGTTTTTGTTAAATTGTGGGGGTGGTAGTTTTGTGTTGTTTTTTTTTTTAATTTGGGCAGAAAGAAACACAAACCCAGTCCAAAACAGTACTACAGGTCAAGACAAGCTTTGGTAGTCAGAAAACAAATACGTCAGATTCTGATTATGTGTATGTAAAATTAATATTTTTCAAAACATATATACACTCTGCAGAAAAAACATATGCTACCATTCAGAATTCTTTTTTTTTAAAAAAATCACCTAATTGGGAATGAAGCCAGCCAGATATATTCAATCAGCTCATTTTAATGCTGTCTTATGTATAATTTCTGTTCTTGTACTAAGAAATCTTTATTATTTTATCTAAGCCAAATCATACAACAAAATAAAGCACTAGGTCTGTTAAGTGTTTCTTCAGAGCAAACACGATATACATTTAAGGAATTATAAGCTCTAGCGTGCTTGTTCAGTTTCCATACATTCTAACTTTTTTCTTTTATAAGTCTGGTAATACTAGATGACAAAGTCAACTTAGTTGTACTTAAAACACAGGAAAACAACCATTTACACACACTGATTTGTAGCTCTACAAAAGCATTAACGATGTACTTATAGATGAAACAAAGGGCACTCTGTCATGTAAACCTGCTGCTGTCTAAGTTTGCCAGTAACACAATGCATCCTTTGCTTCAATCAGAATCTTTCTCCCCTTTCTGCCACTTGCTTTTTTAAAAGTTAAGAATTTCAAGGATCTTTGGAACACCTACTCCTCTGTGAAATCTAGCCAAAATGAGTTATTGGGTCCACCTGGTGGATTAATGGAGAAAGGAGTATAATATAATACATAGTACCCTAAATAGCATAACCTGTGTTTTCTTAGGTATTACCGAGGGAAAAAAACCATTTATTTTTCTTCATACCAGTTTGTGTTTCAAGCGTTACAAAAATATGTAGTTATGTCCTTGTACAAATAAAACTTCCTGTATCTTTATACATATGTACTTCCTACACACATACCAGCTTTAGAGAATTTAATCAAGCATTCGTGTAGCCACGGGTTATTACTGTTGATAGCAAAAGCTCTTTTGACAGACTGTAACATTAACAGAAACTTTCCTGTGGGAAGGAGAAAAAACAAAACCATAAGATTAAGAACACAAAGCTTTTTCTCTTTGTATCAACTACTGTTTTAGTAAGTTTAGTAAAAACATTAGAAATATCAATGCCTACACAGAATTAGAAAGGAGATTTCTTTTTCTCATCCAAATTGCTTAATAAAACAGAAATACTGCTCAAATTCCGGCAACATTGCATAGATGTTAGTATCTGTTTGGCTTTGGTTTCCCCTAGACAATTAAGGATCACATGGCAAATCTTTCTACAGCACTTATGAGTATATACTATAACTTACTTTGCTCTTAGGTTTTTGTTTGTTTTAAGGGTGGTTAAACAAAAAATGCTGTTTCCCCTATTACTGGATATGACACAAGCAACCCCAGCTCCAGTCAAGTAAATATCTACTCCAGATCATTTTATGCTACAATCAGATAACAAAGGCCACAGTGAAGGGTTAAAATTTTGGAGAGAAAAAATAAAATTATGCAGTACTTTACCTTTTCTAAAATATATTTCAAATGCTAATAAATGTGTTTCTATGTCATCTCCAATAAGATTCTTAAGTGGTATAAGGAACTTAATGGCTTCTTCTAATGGATTTTCTACCTGTTTTGATAAACACACAGTTAAATTTAAAGCTTAAAATAAATGTCAAATAAAACACAGCAAGGAAAGTTTCTCCTATTTAGAACATTTAAATAAGAGGCCAAAAGTGAACTGGAGAAAGCTTTCTGAATCAAACTGAACCACAACATTTTTATTTGAACAGCAAGATTTAAGAGTGTTTACTTATGATTTAACATTGACAAAGACAACACAAATGCTAACTCTGACACTGCTTATGTGAGATAGTCAGTGTTGTAATTTAGCATTTAGGAAACAACTAACTATGACCACCTCAAACAACAAGCTTAAACTTCTGAAGTTACTCTGATAAAGAGGAGAGATCTTTTTGCTTAGATAAATACTGGGTCATGTCTTCAAACATCTGTTTTTCCCTATTAATTGAATGAAAACTAGAGCTCTTCAGGCGAGAACCATCTTTCAGTATCTATTTTAATGAAGGACAGTCTACTGTTCAAAAAACCAAAATTTAGAAAATAGAAATATTATTAATATAGAACTTTAATTTATTAGAGGAAAAATATTACTTTAGTGTTAATAAAGATAGACTACAAAAAGGTATCTTTGCATGCAAAAATGGTTCGATAAAAATGGTGGATTCTTTTAAGAGAACCTCATAGTAATTCTGTGTTATAGGCTTTTTATGATAATCACATGAATTTAACATGAAAGACCATGCTAACCCTTTCCAGTTTTTCAGGAACTAGCTCTTCCCTGGGTCCACTAGTTTCCTCCTCCTCTTCATCTCTCTTTTTCTTTTGATTCTTTTGTTGTCTCTCTCTTTCTGCATGTTTTCTTTCTTCTTCAAGTTTTGCCTTCTTCTGCGCTCTTCTTTGCTTGCTAAGCATTTTCTTCAATTCTTTGGCTGAGAGATTTTCTACAGGTTAAGGCAACGAAATGTTAACTTCTATCAGAGTATTTAATAAAAAAAATCTTGTCTCTCTCAACACTCAGACACACCACTACACTCCTCAGAAGAAAATGGCACACTTCTATGTATTTTCCAGAAATACCAGCACTTGCCAATCATCGCTCTATAGTCCAACAGTACTACTGGATTACTATTTACAACATAACACAACACTTGACCTTGCATATTTTCTCTTACATAATTATAGAAACCTCAACTATTTGAAAGGTTAACCACATAAAGTTGTTGCATCTGACAAGTTTTACCTTAGAAAACAAACAATGGTTTTCAAGGGTAATACTAAGGTCCGATATTGGCTGTAGCTCAGCTTCCTTCTAATGCTAACTGGAAACATCCAGATGGATTTACATTCTACCTTAAAACAAGCTTGTTATCTTCTATTAAATTGTCTGAATAATATACAGCCATGATAACTGCACTGATTTTCTGCAAATGCTATGGGATAGCTCAATGGATGCAAGCAAAAACTGATACTGTTTGTGGTGAGGAGAGGTAAAAATATTCTGGTATGTATTAGCAGAAGCATTATAAGAATCTTCAGGCTGCTTGCTATATTCCAATTTTTAGACTAGACGAGCATTTAGATAAACCAAGAAGGTTTAACAGTTGCATGAAAAGCAGAAAACACAAAAGATGGTTTCCTACAGGTTCACACAGAAGTGAGGAACCTTCAGCCTTTCCATTCACCCCTCTTTGTTTCTTCCCCACTGTCCCACTGACCTGAGCAGTTTAGCCAGAACACTGTAGTTTCCACCCTGTTTACTGTGGTGTTTCACCGAAAACAGTATTTGTGTTAATATTGTAGCAAGGAAAAGAACAAGCTATTGAGGGACTAATGAACCTTTTCTGTGGCTATGGCACCATGACCTCTCCACTGGGGCCAGCCACCATCCTGAGACATGGGAAGCAAGGACAAGCAAGCGTTCTTTTTACCCCATTCATACAGCGATGTCTTCCCCTGTGGATGAGCCTACTGAATCCTAATGAACAGCAGGCAAATGAACTAGTGTGACTTCTTAAACTCTTCCCTACCTTAATTTCTATGACATTATCACTATCAAGATCCTCTGTCACACACCTATCTTACATTATAAACAGAAACAAATTAAGATTGGAGAAAAAAAAGATGCAAGTTGACCTGTTCTGTGGAATGTGCCCCTTCTTTAGATGTACTACATTATACACAGGCAGATATGGGAAAAAAGTTATTATTCACTTCTGAATGAAAGGTAAGATTGTACAGGCAATATTAAACAGCATTTTTATTTTAGTTTAACTTTTCCCTCCAAAGTCAAACATTCTTCCCTTCGCAAAGAGCTAGGCATCAGTTTCATCCCTTTAGTCAACAGCCACTGCAGTGCTGACAGTACCTGCGATTCCATAAAAGGACAAGCAACTGATTTATCTTAAAAGAAAAAACCTCTTAATTCACTTGTCAGTGAATCCTCAGATTTCCAAATCACACCTCACTGGTTTCCTAGGACAGTCTACTTGCCATTTAACACTGGGTTTAAATAATCTCCTAAACATATTAGCTTCGCTAATACATATTCTTTGGTCCTGAAGATATGTGAAAAATTATAAAAGGTAATACAGTGTTACCTAATATTACTAGCTTATAAATTAAATACACTCAGTCAAAACTCAATTGTTACAATTTAGACTGTTTTCCCACAAAATTTTCCACTGTTTCATAATTCATCTGTTAATATTTATCTTTTGTTTAAATGGATAAATGGCTGAACTGAATTTGATTTTTCCTCTTAATATTCTGAAATGCCTGCTCCTCCCAAGTACTCCAACTATAGCTAGGTTCATTCACATACTAGTTTCACAATATGAGGGGAGAACAGAAATGAAGAAAGCTGTAGCATGTTATCTATGATCTCTTTTCAGTTATCAAATCATGACAGAAAAGAGGAAAAAAAACTTGTGTATGTTACAGCTCATATTTATTCTACAGCACAAAACTTAGGTTAATAAGCTTTTACATGTGTCATACACACATGAGCCTCCGTTAGGGTCTAGATACCTGAATTCACTTCTTGTTCTTTGCTTTCATTGGTAAGAGGATTATCATGAAGCTTCAAGTAGATTTCAATTGCTGATCGAGCAGCCCTGAAGTAAAAGGCATGTTTCCGAAGCACATCTTCTAATCTCAAAAGGTCTACATAGGCACGAAGAGTCATCTTTCTCATGCAGTATGTGTGGAAGTCAAATTGATCATCCGTTATCTCAAAAAAATGCTTCAAGAAAAAAAAAAACACAACACACACAAGTCTTACACACTTCCCTTGCCTAGTCTATTTTTTTAATTAAATGGAAGTGAAAAAAGCTACAACTAGTATTATTTACAGGCAATATCTAACAAGCAGAGAAATTTCCTTATAATACTGATTATCCAAGAGAACTTGTCAGTAGGGAAGGAATCCACCCAGAAAAATCTGATTTTTTTAACCAAAACTATAATGTGATTGTTTAAAGACTAAGATGCAATTCAAAAGCCAACTGAAACGTGCTTGCTCTGAGTAAGAAAAAAAAACAACTGTCAAAACACAGCATAAAGTTAATGTACAAGTAATTATATAGTTAGGAGACGTATTTTATATTGAGTCCTTTTCACTTCAAATACTAATTTTGGACATAATAGCTATGGATGACGTATTATCTGTTATAATAAACCCCCAAGTATTAAGCTGTTTTTAAAAATCACTATACCAGAAACTTTATATGCTGAGAAAATCATATTGATTACATCAGCAAACATCTTCATTAGTGTTTGAGAAATACTGGGAAAGAAACTGATGGTGTTTGCACGTACTTACCCTTTCTACCTCATGGCATTTTTTCAAGGCATCACCATACTTCCCTAGCCTTTGGTAAGCTGCAGCACATTCAGTCTGGAACCACATACACTGCATCTCATTTAGATTTTCCATAGCAGAAGTTCCTTCCTGAAATAAGTGTCATAATCACTTTTTGCTATTGTAATTCTCCAGCTGCTTCTTTCAACTATGGCTAGTTTCAGGCCATTAGTAGGAAACAATCCATCCTTCAACTACTTAGAATACAATATCAAATGGATATAACCACCTAGCAATGAAGAATAATATTTGTGATACCCTGTGCTCCCCAAAATAGAAAGGAACAGATTTAAATTATTTTTTTTAAAGTTATCTGAACAAGATCAGTGTCTCAACAGATTTTTTTTTAAGTTATCTCGTGCTTGTATGCAGTCTTATTTTATAACTTGGGGACAGAAAACAACACTTTTTTTTAAAACCTTCAAGTTTAGCAACTAACTTGCATTGTTTTTCCCCAGCAAATATGTGGCATCTACTAGTTTCAAAATCCACCAATATATTTACTGCTTTATCATAAAAGTTTCTTAGAACTTGTTAGTCTAAATAAATGAAATTAGATTTATACTTTATAGTTTCAGTGCTCTAGATTAAGAATAAACAGTCCATAAGAATATTAAGAACAAACAAGCTCCATCATTGGAAGTGTTCAAGGTCAGGTTGGACAAGGCTTTGAATAATCTGATTGAAGATGTCTCTGCCCATGGCAAGGAAGGCTGAATTAGATGATCTTTAAAAGGTCCCTTCCAAACCAAACCATTCTACAATTCTATACTTATTTAAGTGTAAGAGTACAATCTTAAAAATGGACGCTAAAAAAAGATTATTTCTGTCAAAAGTTACATGAGTGAAAAAACTGCCAGAAGCGAACAAAACCTCTCTTCATTAAAGCAATATACTTACCCTTGTGAATTTAGAGCACATCTCCTCGGCATCCTTCACCATATTTGCTCGCAGCATATATTTCGCACATTTAGAATTGATAAATCTGTCTGCAGTATCCAAAGACTGTGCTTCATCCATCCATTTGGCAGCTTCCTTGAGGTTACCTACATGCTGTTAGGGAGAAATTAAATAGTTAACTTCAGTATAACCCTGACATTGACCAACTCCTGAAATCTATAGTTACTGGCATTTCTCCCTCAGAAACAACAAAAGGCAGTAATGCTGCTTATTTCCCCTACCCCCAAATTTTTTCCAGAATGACGATTTGCTGCAAGTTGTGACTTGTTTTGCAAAACCTAAACAAGACAAAAAGGTTTTCATTTTCTTAGTGACAGAACAGCGCATAAAAATAAACCCACAACCATCGCTAACTGAAATACTATCCACACACTAACACCAGTTTGATGGGTTGCGGTTTGTTCTGCTTTGTTTTGTTTTGTTTTTTTTTTTAATAAACTATGTACTCTGCTTGTCCAAATTCACTTTTTACCTTGTAAATTTTTGCTTTTAAATAGAACAGTTCTATTAATGTTGGAGTGCTTGCAATTGCAGCATTAATGTAATCCAAGGCCAAAGAACACTGGCCAAGTTTGTCAAAGTGCTGTGCCAGGAAATACCGAACCCAAAGCAGTGTCGTTGGGGGCTCTTTCTCTCCATTTTCTGCAACAAAATGGAAAAAGTTACAGTAACCAGTAAGGCTGAGGACTGCATTTGAAAAATAAAAAAAACAAACCTTGACAAATTCAGCAAATATTTCCTGTATTGCATTCATTTACTAAAAGGTATACAACAATAGTATACAACTATTTTCATGCAGAAAATATCAACACTTCAAAGGTTCTTGACAACTGCCATAAACAGTATTAGTCATTACAGTGTAATTAATATAAGACCAGATAAACTTACCACACGTACTAAAAAGATCACAAGTTTTCAAAGAGGCTTCATAACCAGTAACAAGTTCTTGGATTGTAGAAACCTGCATGTAAAAAAATATCAACTTAAGTTTTGCTTTAGTATCATATTTACATAAATTAACATACCAAAAAAAAACCACTTGGTCAAAATTAGAGAAACTATAATGAAATAGTTACTTAATTTAGAAAAACCTGGATGTATCCTCATACAGTTTATTCACCTTTCACAAGCTACCTTTGATCACCCATTTTAACCAGTGATACGTCAGGGAAACAGGTGTAATCTTTCGCAGCTTATGGTGGAAAGTAATCAAGTACATTTGATTAGTATCCTTTTGAAGTTGTATTTTGGAATTTTTATTTATGCCATTAGTTTTTAAGTGTCCAAACTGAAGAAATGTGCTCTGGAAAAGACTCTCCATGAACTTCCCGTAACAATGAAGACATAGAAGACTGGATTTCTGGCAGGCTGATATGTACTAATATTTTTTTTTTTTCTTATAAAAGGTATTGTTGTCTAGGATACAGACTGCATCTTTTTAAAATGAAAATCTATATATTAATCGATTTCAAGCTAACACTTTCTGAAATCAGACCTTGCCAACAATATTGTTCATTCCAAGGCTGAACACTCAAAATTCATCCATACAGTTTTGAACTCAGGCTATATGAGGTTGACATTTACAATACATGCAAACATTAGCATCTGTGCATTTCATGACAATGAACTATTCCAATACCAGGTCCACAGCTTTCAAGTGCCACATAATATTTCTAATATTTATTAAATGCTCAAACTGTTTTGTAGCTACATTCTAAATGTGCCTGCCATGTCCAGCAAGTAACCAGCCTCTTAAGGAAACAAGAACAATAATAAAGAAAGAAATATGATCTTTATGTGCGTATATATATACACACAACCAGAACACAGAAGGGACTTAAAAAATGAGATCTGACTGTAAGCACAGCAGGATAATGGCTACATTCACCAATTAGGTGAAATCTATAGATGGTAAAAACCTAAAACTTCAGGGAATAAAAGTAAGGTAATCCTACCTTAAAAAAAAGGTCAGTTGCAAGAGTAAAATTAAAAAATATTGTGGATAGACAGCAAAATTTTAAAAAGCAGGATTTGACAAAGCATGCATTTACATACACTTTGCGAGAAAAGGGGAAGGGAATAAACCTTGTTATAGAAGATCAAAGTACATAATTTGAAGGATACTACTTTATTTAACCTAATTCAGCACAAAAGACAAGAAATGCCAAACATTTTGTTTCAAGGAGACCAGAGAAACAGACACACCCAAGTCATACCCAGCCAGTGTAAATGTTCTTAAGAGTGTAAATAAAACATACAAACACACACACATTATGGCAAGCTCTGGACAAATCTCACAAGAATTGTTTCTGGTAGCAAAATCTGATCTAATATAATAAAATGTTACTAGACTTCAAGTAATTACAAAGTGATAAAGGAATATAAAGAAGTCACAAGTAAATGGACAAAGACAAATAAATGCATTAAGCTGTTCTCTGGCCTCAGAGCATCTAGTTACTGAAAGAAACCTCCAACCACCTCAGAAAAATCTTTGAAGATTCTCTTCTCTAAAATGAGTTTAAATGCAGAAGTCATCATCTGCTTCAGGTAAGCACGCTTGCAGTATGTATGTGCAACAGTAAGTGTTATTTCCTTGCTGCTTTTCACTGCAACTTCAAAGTATTCCCAAAATTATTCTCATCTGTCTGTTGGTAAACTAAAATTCCTTTGAGTCCAACCAGCTTTACAAGGCCACAAGTGAACTGCATGTACAGGGAGAGAAAAAAAAAACCTTAATTCCTTTAATAAACATCCCTCATCCCAAACTGTACATATAGTTTTTTTCCACTACTGCACACTTGTTGGCTTCATGGCCGGACAAAAACCATGCTATCACCAAAAAGAATGGTGCCACCATCTCTGCGCCACACATGCCTGGTGCCTGTTTGGGGTCACGGCTAGTGGCTGTATCCAAGGTTACAAGTGATTTACTCCTTGCTACACTTCAGCATACAGATGCCCAATTACTAGTTCCACCATCAGAAGCAGCTGACAGTGGACAGATCTGGTGCATTGAGGCAGTAAGAAAGCCTCTCCTAGCAGGAGGGCCTTCAATCAGCTTACAGCAACAGTGAAATCAAATCCTCTGATCTTGAAATGATGGAAAATATCAAACTGTGACATGTTTTAAAAGATGCTAATTTCTTCCAAATTCAGAATTCTGCAGTGGTTTTGACTTCTACAGTCGAAGAAACTACACTGGCATTGTCATTCTGAAAACTACTTTGAACAATACATTTGTAAAGAAGAGCAGTCTTCAGTAAGAGCAGCAAAAATAACACAAATCGGGCAGGTAGGTTATTGCAGACCTTCTTGATGAAAATGACAGTATCTTTGTTTCTCATCATTACTCAATCTTTTCCCTCCCTTTTTTTGCTTATGCTTCAGTCTCTTGCAAGTAATTTAGGTAAATAATTCCACGTTCATGTGCTGCTTCAAGGAACAAGTGATCTGGAAATATGAACCCTAATTTCTATGTCCATATTAACTGCAAATTTAGTAGTAAAACCTGTCTCTCAAATTTACTACCATCTGTTATCTAGAGTCACCACTGCCATCTTAAAGACAATATTTTACTATTCCTAAAAATTACAACATTCTTCATAAAGATCATTTTACAATTTCTAAAAATCAAGCTGAGGTATCTGGAAATACTATGATACTGACCATGAGTTAGTTTCAAGCAGTATTACTCTAGAAAAAAAGTTTCAGTTATTTGTGTTTGGATCTGAAAAAGCCTAAGGTATTAAAGGGGACCTTGACAGGCCTGAGAGGTGGGCCCACGCAAACCTCAAAGTTCAACAAGGCCAAGTGCAAGGTCCTGCACATGGGTCGATGCAATCCTAAGCACAAATACAGGCTGGGCAGAGAATGGACTGAGAGCAGCTCTGAGGAAAAGGACTTCGGGGTGCCGGTAGATGTGAAGCTCAACATGAGCACTTGCAGCCCTGAAAACCAACTGTGTCCTTGGCTGTGTCAAAAGAAGCATGACCAGCAGGTTCAGGGAGATAATTTTCCCCCTCTACTCCACTCTCATGAGAGCCCACCTGGAGTACTGTGTTCAGCTCTGGAGTCCTCAGCACAGGAAAGACACAGACCTGTGGAAGTGAGTCCAGAGGAGAGCCACGAAGACGGTCACAGGGCTGGAGCACCTCCCATATGAGGACAGGCTGAGAGAGTTGGGGTGTTCAGCCTGGAGAAGAGAAAGCTCCAGGGAGGTCTTATAGCAGCCTTCCAGTACTTCAGTGGGGCCTACCAGAGAGGTGGGGAAACACTCTTCATCAAGGAGTGTAGCAACAGGACAAGGGGTAACAGTTATAAACCAAAAGAGAGTAGATTTAGATTAGATATTAGGAAGACATTTTTTACTGTGAGGGTGGTGAGGCACTGGCACAGGTTGCCCAGGGAAGTTGTGGATGCCCCATCCCTGGAGGTGTTCAAGGCCAGGCTGGATGAGGCTTTGAGCAACCTGATCCCATGGCAGGGGGGTTGGAACTAGATGATCTTTAAAGGACCCTTCCAACCCAAACCATTCTATGATTACAAAAGCATAACTAAAGTCAGCCAGAAATCTCACACTTTGTTATGACAAGAATGAAGCCATTCCAGAACTGAGGCCACCAGTTTCAGAAGCTTCTTAAATAATCAAAATTCAAGCCTCAAGCCTTTTCATAGCTTACTACCTACAATAACTTTAGTTTAAATACAGAAGAACAATGAGCTAAAAACCAAGAACCCAAGAAGGGGGAAAATGGGCTTTAGTATTCCTGATCATCACAGATAACTGAAGTGCTCACTTCTACATCTCATGTTAAGATTAAAATTTCACATGCTCAAACCAATAGAGATTCTTGTCAAGTGTAATAATCTTTAAAGTTAAGAGAGCATCTTCCACACTCTGTACTACTTGAAGCAAAGACTCCACAAAGGCCAGAATAGTCTTTTTTCCATTCTTGTGCAGTCTGTTTGCATTAGAAAAGATGGTTTCATAACTAAACTCTGAGTAAATGCCTTAAAATTTGTATTTGAGAAATAGAAACTGAGACTGGAATTGATGTCTTGCATACACACCTTAATTTCATTTTAAGCTGTAAGCAAAAAGAACACAATTCACTTAAACTTCAGTTCTGTATTACTTTTTCCTTTGAGAATTAATTTTATTTGATTACACTGAGAAATATTTTGTGTTCTCTTTTGTATGGGACAGCCGAAGGGAAAGTTATTGTCTTACAGACAAATGCCTGATGCCTAGAGGTTCTTTTATCATCACCTGCAGTTATTATGGTGGCACCTATGGGCCAGTCACTGAACGGAAATCTGTGCTTTTATTAAGTTAATGTGGCAGGGTTTTGGTAGCTACAAGGTGGACTACAAGGGTGGCTCCTGTGATAACTGCCAGAAGTTCCCACTTCCAGCAGCTCCACGTCAGACCTGCCCCTGGCCAAGGCCGAGCCAGTCAGCAATGCGGAGACCACCTCTGTGATAACACATTTAAGAGGGGTGCAGCATGAAAGAAAGCCAAGCAGGGCTTGGCTGGCCCAGACCCTGCTACAGCCCAAGAGCTCTTCAGAAGCCAGCAAAAAAACCTGCAGCAGAGAGGAATGGTATGTGAGTGAAATAACTGTGTAGACACCAAGGTCAGTGAAGAAAGGAGGGGGCGGAGGCATGCTGGAACAGAGACTCCCCTGCAGCCTGTGGTGAGACAGCAGCTGTGCCCCTGCAGCCATGGAGAGTAACAGCGGAGCCGAGATTCCCCTGCAGCCTGTAGGAAGGACTCACATTGGAGAAGTTCATGCAGAGCTGTCTCCCATAGCAGGGACCTCATGCTGGAGCACGGTAAGAGCGTGAGGAGTCCTCCCCCCGAGGAGGAAGGAGCATCAGAAACAATGTGTGATGGACTGTGACCCCCATTCACTGTCCCTCCTGTGCCACTGGAGGGGAGGAGATAGAGAAATCAGGAGCAAAGTTGTTGAGCCTAAGAAGGGAGGTGTACA